CCTCTCCGTCACATGCCCCAGAAAGGACAGTAGCTAGGCTCTTTGGATGCTTTGCCAAGCAATTGACTCCATCTCGGTGACCATCCAGGGAAGCGAGGAATGGTTTTGCAAATACCCGTTCCAGTTTGGTAGCATTTAAAGCTCTTACATATTCTCGTGGGACCTCAAAAGGATGCAAGGTAGGATCATAGTTTCTTGGAACTGAAATAAGAATGATTCCTCTTAATGAAATAATTCACATTTAATATTCCCTGTAGTCTTCCTCAGCTCATCACTCAACTTGTTATTCAATAAACAGTTAGGGACATTGTTTTATGCCTAGCACTATGTATTTGGTGATAGTTTACACTATCATCAGATCAATCATGCTAAAACAGCTTTTTACATGTCATTCCCATGCTCAAAACTTTCAAAGGCTCCCTTACAGTAGTAGTCCTCAAACTCTTTTGATTGTGTGCTCCATTAGTAACAGAGTTTTTGAGCAGGTCACTTCCCCTCAATACACGTCTATTTATTTAGTAAGAGTATATAATTAAAGATGTTTGGTTTTTTTTTAATCTTGATTTAATACTGTGATATAGAGATATTCAAGGGTTCTAATTTGAGTTTAATTCAACTTTTGATTTTAATAGCTACTGGAAAAGATTCAGACAGTACTCACTTTTGCATGGTACTGTGTCAACAGGATCACATGTATACAGGAACCAATCCCTCATTTTGCACAGTTCTGTGGTAACAGATGTGACTTCAGTCACTGTGAACCTCTAAAAGAGTGAGATTGGTTCAGTTACTATGGTACTGTGCAAAGTGAAGACTGCCTATACTTCACAAAGACAAGCAGATTCAAAGAGGTAATATGTATAGTTAGCTACATTTATTTAGTATATTTTATTTTCAGTCCCATTTACCAGTTTTGCAAAGGTTATTTTTGAAAAATTTTTGAAGTATGTCTAGAAAAGTTCCATCTACTCTGATATCAACAGCTGTTACAACAATTAAAATTGGTATTTTAATAATTTTAACAGTGAAAAAAAAACCCGATGACATAAACCATTCTGTTTCTAAATCTTTTCATGTAGGCAAATATGAGTTTTTATAAATGTCAGACACTTTTATCATTTTCAGTACAAAAATTTTTAAATGATAGAAACATTTCCAAGCATACATTTTCAGAACAATCTCTTCAGTAATCACTTCCTCACTCATCATTAAAACGGACTTTGAAGGAGCAAGTTACGTGCTTTATTTTTTCTAAAAAAAGAAAAAATCAAAACCAAAAACTCCATATGGTTAATATTCATAGCCACAAAAGTCTGGCAAATTTTAAAAATGCTTAATTCATTGTTATGTTCCACAACTCTTCTAAGAACTTTGCCATGACATAACCAAGGAACTTCTGCATGAAAGAAGGCTTTCATGGTCCTCTCCATCACTGTACGAATTATTATAAAGACCCTATTAGATAGGATAAGTCCTCAATAAATGTAAAGTATAATGTGCTGCCATATTCCAAAGGTAGAAGCAACCACACCTCTGCCAATCCTTCATTCTTTTCTTGGGATACTTGAATCACCACATATAGCATGTGACCAACATATGGCTAAGATGAGGATGTCAGTGTCAATCCAAGTATTATATTAATAAAGATTAATTTGTTTTTTTAGGATAAACAATATAAATTGAAGTTCTAATTGTTTTTCCAACATTGCAATGGATAGCCCAGCACACCCATTTTAGAGACCTCTGACTTAAAGAATGAAATTCAAGCTCCTTTCTGGTCTTCCACAATCTAGTCCCAACCTACCTCTTCAGTTTCAAGTTCTTTTCGAAACTCAGCTCCAGCCAAATTGGTTTATTCACTGTCACTGAAAACTGCCTTGCACTTTTCCACTCGAGTCCCTGTACACATGCCATTTCTTCCACCAAGAACGTACTGGAACTTTCATTCTAAACTATCTAAACCCTATGTATTCCTTAAAAATACTCAGTTTAAAATGTATGTCTTCTATAAAGTTTTTCAAATCACCATGATCATGCCCACCTCTAAATTCACACATCCAGTCAACAATAAACAGTCAACAAATATTGATGAAGTACCTGCCATATACCACAAGCACTGAGGATATCATACGTCATAAATTCATGGCATATATTTACATAAGGTATTTTCAAACATCTGTATGTTAACCAGCTGCATCAGAATTACCAATAGAGTTTTAAAACTACAGATTCCTGGGTGCCCATCCCAGCAACTGAACATTGCACAAAATTTACAAGGAAATAACACACAACATAAAAACAAATGAATAAAGGAAGATAACAAATGTCTTCCTTATTTCATGTTATACAGAGCTCCAAACATCTATTTTTCCATTTTTCTATCTATTAACACTTACATAATAAAGTATAATGAAATGGGGAGATGTGGTAGAAAAAAGACCTTAGTAACAAGATCAGATGACTAATAACCTTCTAACATTGGGATTATATAACCAGCCAGTCACCCACTCATTCAATCATTTGGACATTTATAAAGCAACTATTATAATATTATGTGCCAGGTGCTGTCTAAACACAGTGCATACACAAACATGATTCTTCCCCTCTCTGCAAGCTAAGACTTCTGAAGGGAAAGACTGTTAATCAAAATAATAATGATGACACGATGTGATAAATACTCTGACAGAAGTATAAAAATATACGATAGAAGCATAGAAGAGGGATGCTGGGGGTGGGGGGTACATGCAAAGGATAAATATGGAAAGATTATTGTTCAGTGAAAGCTTTCCAGAGGAAGCGTTAAATTGGGTAAGGGTCCATGCCAAAGGAAGCCTGAAAGAGGATGCTTGAAATGCACTTAGGTTGGCCAGGGTGAACTGTAAGCTACTTCTGGTGAAAGTAATGACAGGTGAAAATGGAGATGAAGATGGCACCAGAGGTTCAAGGACTAGGAATGATGTCAAGTCCAAATGACAAATTTAACTGGTATCTTAGAAACATTATTGCCTTGTTACTTAACCTGTAAACATCTTGTGAGCAGAGACCCATTTACCTTTTTCGTAGTGCTCATATGTATGTTGATAATCTCTACTACTCAATCAAAATGGTGAAATATTGCTTCAGCCTCATCTTGTGTCGCTTACCCCTCATTCAAACTTTGATGGCACAGGCATTCTCTCTCTGTCTAGGTTTATTGCTGCCTTAAGGTCTTTCCACCTGGTATTCTCTTCACTTAGAAAGATCTGTTTACACATGGTTGGTCCCTTGTCACTTAGGTATCATGAACTGTAATAACTATATAACTATAATTCATAAATAGACCCGTAAGGATAAATAAAATTCATTAATTTCATTTTAACCATTCTCCCATCGAACTTCTCCACAAAAGTTAATAAAAGAAAACAGATGACTTTAAATTTCATCTTTGTCTCTTCTTACATCCAAAAGTACGTAATATAAAGTAGTAAAGTGGCCGGAAGTTACAGCAGCAGGAAGGTTTAAAGTCTGTTTAGCTTTCAAACCCTTCAACCCACGAGTATGGCTCATTCAAGTTTCACTTTACCACTGTAAGGACATGAGGACAATCCAAGAGCAGCAGCTGGAAGGGGTAAGGCGGAAGAGACGTTACCTGCTACCCAGTTTCGCAACGACCCCACCTACACAAAGTTTGCCTTGGCGAAAGGAAACTGGGAAAGAACCAGACTGGAGCACTTGGCTCCCCACAGCCTTCCTCCGTGGTAGTCCAGGCTAGACCGAAGGACTTGCGGAAGGCGTCCCTTTCTCCCCACCAAGTTGTCTTACCTCTCTGTAAGTCCAACTTGGTTTCCCGGACATAGTTGTCCGGATTCCGGCTCAGCATCTTCACCTTCATCTTGGCGGCTCTTCCTCCCTGAATCCACGATCTTTTCTCTCAGGCTGGGTTCGCCGCCGCCTCCTTCCGCACATGCGACTTCCGCGTCTCACAGACTACTTCCTGTCACGTGACCCACGGAGTGGCAGCCGCCGGCTCGGTTAGATCCTGCGGCGCTCCATAGTTTTGCGAGCAAAGGCTGGTAGGGGGCGGTTCTTTAGCTGTAGGGTCTCTCCCACGTCTTTTGGTCGGAGCCGGCAGTAGTCGTGGACGACGGAAGGCGGAGAATCGGCGGAGGTGGGCAACGCGCCTCCAGCGCGCTTTCCGCAAGCGTGACGTTTGCCCCTCTCACGCCCCTTCTGCTCCGGCATCTTTCGGCTCCGCTCCCGCGTCGAGGGCTTCAGTCATATCGCCGGTCCCGGAAGTGAGCTCGCGCCCTGCCGTTCGTGCTGCTGGGTGGCGACCGTAGCCACGGTGGCGGCCACTGCATCTCGTCCCACCTCCGCGGCTCTGGGCGCCGTGGTGTCGACGGGCCCAGAGCCTATGACCACCCAGGGCCAGCCGGCGCCCGGATCGTCGGTGTGGAGCACGGTTTTCCGCCACGTCCGGTATGAGAACCTGGTAGCGGGTGTGAGCGGAGGAGTCTTGTCCAACCTCGCGCTGCACCCGCTCGACCTCGTGAAGATCCGCTTCGCCGGTAAGAGCCTACCCAGAAACTTGGCCGCTTCCTTTCACTGTCAGCCCGAACTGGGTGGTAAAGACTCAAAAAGAAGCTTTGGCCTCTGCCTTTTCCATGTTCCGAGGAGAGCTTTGAACGATATGCTGGCTGCCCTGGCTCATCTTGAACTAGATTTGAGGAAGGGGGCCTGGTAAAGGGGTCTGGCCGCGGGCTTTCCCGCTCCCCAAGACAAAGGGATGGAGCGTGTGGGTAGAAAAGTCTGAGAAAAAAAATTCTCATTGGAGTAAGTGGGATTCCAAGCCTAATTTGTAAAATAAAGAAGGGATTGTCACTTTTCGGGTCTTAGTCCTTACACGTGCAAATCATTCACCTTGGAGGTACTTTGAAATCTTAAGAGTAGCCACGTGTTCGGCAGCGCCACTGAAAGGGAAATGCAAGTTCTTGGGATAGTGCCGTAATCCCCAACGGATCTTTGGGAGTAGGTTTGGAATAGAATTCTCTTGAAGATTTCCTTGTTTTTTTGACATTTATAGTGTGGTACAAAGTCCTGTGAAAGAATAGGTAATTAGAATCTAAATACGATTTTAAGCGTATTGACTGAATTAAGTATGTTGAATTTAAAGCACTTTAGAAGTTAAACTCAACAGTAAAGTCTGGAAAGAGAGTTTTAAAGATGATCTATGATAACTTTATTTGGGAACTTTTTTGGCATTTCAGTTATCTCATTACAAGTTCTGCCCTGAGAATGAAATCTGCACAAGTGGTTTATCTTAGCTAATTCTATTGAATTCACTTGATATATGTTCTCAATATTTGTAGACTGCTGTATGGGCTACAGAAGTATCTAATAACAAAGTTCTTGCCCTCGGGAAACTTACAGTCTAATTGTAGGCTTGAAACTTAGTCATATAAAAGATAATTTTATACAACATAAAATGAAGGGCAAAGTGGAATAAATATAAATACAAAATATGAGTGATAGACCATCAAGAAAATTATAGATTGCTGATGGACATATGTACTGTAAAGGTTACACAGAAGATTAGATCTTGAGGTTCCCTATAGAAGGAATAATATTTTGACAGAGAGAAGGGAAGAAGCCATTCTATGAAGGAAAATCATTGAAAATTATGGCTTATTATCCCTAAAAAAACACAACAAAGGCCTATGTTTTCATGAACTTTATAATGCATGCACAAATAATAATTATGATTACTATTGACAAGTAACATTTATTGAGCATTTACTAGGAGCAAGGCAATGAGCAAAGAACTTATATGCATTATCTCATTCACTATCCTGTGAATTTATGATCCCCACTATACAAATGAGGATAACAGAAGTTGACTAACTTAAGTCACAAGTTTATAAAGGTGGATCTGGGATTTGAACCCAGGCAGTCTAATTCTAGAATCCTCTGGCACTTAACTACTCACCATACTAGTTCTATGAGTCCCTGGTATCCAGTGGCTCAACATAGAGAGAAGAATTTTGGACTTGGCTATAGGTACAGGCCTGTGTGACTTGTCTCTCTGGCGGCATTTTGTCTAGGAGTAGAAGATGTGACAGTTGAGATGATTATTGAGGAACAGCATAGTTGGCCTGGTGAGTTTATGGCAGTGCTGTGAAGCAGATCATGCCTGAGGAAAGGGAATTCTTGGTACCTGAGAAGATTGGTAGTGTTGATGAAATGGGGAGAGTATTGGGAGACTAGTAGGGTTGGGGTGACAGGTAAAGGCATTAAGACTGAATGGGAGGCCTAAATTAAAGATCTGGGAGTCAAAGCAGGACTTCGTAATAGTAATATCTAGCGATGGGGGTAGGAGGAGGCTTAGTCCTGAATGCATGTACTATTAAACTAAACCTGGAATTTTTCAGTGAGTTCAAGTGTAAATTGGAACTCAAAGGTGTTCAGAGTGGTAGAAAGATTAGAAATCATTTCATATGAGAAATGACTAGAGGAACTAGTTTAGCTTGGAGGGGGAAAAAAAACCTTAAAGATATTTCGAGAACTTCCATGTGGGAAAGGGAGCTGCCTTGTGGTTTGATCTGAGGTCAGACATAGGATGAGGTTAGAGGGAAGCAGATTTTGGCCTGACAAAGTGGTGGTGCTCAGAAATGAAACTGGTAATGACTGAAAGTGCGGATGACAGAGCTTAGAAGATATTCTTGTCTTGGGTGGAAAGGTTGGATTAGATGATCACTGAGGCCCCTTCTTACTTTATGATACAATTTTACACCCTCAAGAATGATAAAGAGCCCCAACAAAGAATGTGAATGAGGTGTAAAAATAATAGTTTTCTAAAATAACCCCAAAGCCCAATGATCTACAAGTTAAAGATATATGTGAATTTTTGTAAAGAAGGTAGAAAGAAGAGAGTATGACTACATCTGAAATATTAATCAAGGAACCAAAGTGATGAATTCATTAAGAAGACTGACACACAGTATCACATGTATATAGTATTGCAGGACCGAGTAGCATAAATAAGCTAATACTTAGTGAGTACTTGTAATATGCCAGGCATGATTCTAAGGGCTATACATGTATTGACTCATTGAATCTTTTGTAATTTTTAGAGATAGGTTCTATTATTTTTTCCTATTTTATGGATGAGAAAACTCAGGCACAGAGTAATAAAGTGACTTACTCAGGGTCACACAGTAATTGTTAGAATTGGGATTTTTCAAACCCAAGAAATCTGATTCCATATTATGTGCTGTGTTAGTTTGAAACCATGAGTGGGAAGTTTGGTATAGATAAAGGGTAAATTAAAATGCTAGAGATGAAAATAAAGAATGATTCCAGAAAGTTAAGAAGCGGCCAGACTGACATATCTTCTATGCCATGTAGAAATGAAAGTCAGGTCTGCTTGTTAGGAATGAGATCAGAACTGGAGATGGAGAAACTATAGCACAGGGATGGCAATTGAAGCCACTTAGTAGTTGAGAGACCACCGCAGTTGGGTGGAAAGAATGCCTATTAAACTCAGTATTTAAGGATGGGCAGAGGAAAAGGTGGCCAAAGAAATTTTGTGGCAAAGAAGTAAGAGGAAAATATGAAGGTGTGGTGTTAAAAAGAAGAGAGTTTTAGGAGGCAAACAATGTCAGGTGCCAATAGGGGCTCATAAGAAAGAGGACTCCCAAAGTGGTTTTGGAAGTCCTTGTGACTAGAGCACTCGAAGTAATGGGTTAGACCCAAACCAGATTGCAATGGAGGTGAGAAAGTCCTGCTGAGATTGTTGGGTTTGTCTCATTGTAGAAGTTTAACTGATAGGGAGGCACTGGAATCAAAGAGGAGACAATTACTCAGGAGAGACTTAAGTCTGTTTAAATTCTGATGGGAAATAGCTGAAAGCAAGGAAGAGCTTGGAGGTCGGGGCAGGAAGGTAATGAGTGAGGTTTCTAAAGAGGGCGCAAGGGACCAGGAACTTTTTTGGCCAGAACCCTTAGTAGGAAATAAATTCTACCTTTGCCATCCGGTATTATACACATATATAAACATTACTGAAACACACGTTTCATCAAACAATACTTATCTTTACTGCTTATGATGTCATTTATAAATTTCTATTCCAGTCTGTTTGTTTTTTAAAGAAATGATACTAGCAATCTGCTGAATCTATTTCTTGATTCATCTGCAGTTTTAAAAATACCAATATAGAGCATAGGTAGAGGGGATTAGTTTTATTAAGACAGAGAAGCTCTTCAGTTATGACACAGGAAAAGAGAGGTAAAATTAATATCCAGCAAATGAAACAGATTATATTAGTGTGATAGTGCTAGGTGGTGATTTTTTTTTGAAAGTCTTTATGTGTCTTTCCTCAAAAATGAACTTAAAGTTAGCGTTCTTTGTCTTGGCTTCCTCCCATACATGAAACTTTATCTTCAACTTGTGCCTACTAGCATCTTTTAGTGCTATCACAGGCTGTTGTAACAGTTATTTGAGAGTTACTTCGATCTGTATATTAATTCTTCAATGGCAAATGTTTTTAAGACAATTGGGAGATCATTTAGACCAAAAAAAGTCACTGTATTTTATCTATATAGCAATTTTTTTTTTCCTGAGACAGGGTCTCCCTCTATTGCCTGGGCTAGAGTGCATTGACATCATCATAGCGCACTGCAACCTCAAACTCCTGGGCTCAAGCAGTCCTCCTGCTTCAGCCTGCTGAGTAGCTGGAACTGTTTTTTGTAGAGCCAGGTGGTCTCTGTCTTCCACAGGCTGGTCTCAAACTCCTGGCCTTAAGCAATCCTCCTGCCTCAGCCTCCCAGAGGTCTAGGATTACAGGTACAAGCCACAGCGCCCAGCCTATATAGCAATTTTAATTTGACATTGGGGAGGCTCTAGTTCAGGTCCTCTTCATCTCAATAACTTTGTAATAATCTCTTAACTTTGTTTCCTTCCAGGATTTCTACCTCCAAAGTCATTATCCTTGGGTCACCAGAATTTCCTTTCTAAAACACATATTTGATTATCCTAGATACACTTGGACCCAAGTTTGAGAAATTTGAGGCTTTGAGATCATAGCCAAACTCTTACATGTGATTTTCAACAACCTTTGCAGTTAGGCTTGCCATAACAAAAAACCACAATGAGTGTGCTTTAAACATCAGGAATTTATCCTGTCACGGTTCTAGGGTCTGGGAAGTCCAAGATAAAGGTGCTAGCAGAGTTGATTCTGAGGAGGCCTCTCTCCTTGGCTTACAGGTAGCCTTTTCTCTGTGCTTGTGGTCTCCTGGTGTCTCTTCCTCTTCTTATAGGGACGCCAGTCCTGTCTGATCTAGGGCCCCAGATAACCTCATTTAACCTTAAAGGCCTTGTCTGTAGGTAGTCTCATTGGGAGATGGCACTTCAAGATAAGAATTTTGGGAGAGGCAATTCAGTCCATGTAACAGGCCCTTGCCCTTCTTTCCAGCCTAATTCCCTACCATGTCTTCCCTCCACTAGCCTGGTACTTCAGTTATACCCATTCCCCAGTGCTGCCCCCAGACGGTGCCAGATGCTGTGATGCTGCCCTGTGAACAGCACCACCTGTTTTGCCTATCTAGAGATAAACTTTCTCCCTTTCTCCTGAAGACATGCTCCTAATCATTCTTGCCTATTTATGAGATACTTAATACTCTTATGAGATTAAGTGACTTCTCAAAACAATAAAGAAAGTATTGGTTTATGCCTGTGAACAGCACAGATGATGTTTTTGTGGTTTGTTTTGCTATTTACCTCGAGAAAGAAATTATGTTGTGAGTTTATTATTGAGAGGAAAATGGAAAGATACTTTGAAGAAATTTCTACAGGAGAATGAGAGACACAAAATTCAAGAGAAGCATCAGAAAGATTGTAAAGTACATAGGAAAATATTTCTCAAAAGCCCATCACTCTGCTACCTGCTTTTAAATTTGTTATCTTGTATAAACCTTATAAACCCTGCAAAGTAGATGATATTTATCTCCATTTTATAAATGAGGATGCTGAAGCTCAGAAAGGTTAAGACCATGTAGCTAACTTCCCTAAGTTGGATATCAAACCCAGGTCTTCTGACAAACCTAGTGTACTTTAATCTCACTTCGTGCTGTAATGCTGGCAGACTAATGATGAAAGAAATTGACTTTCCCCCCTTTGCCTTGCATGTTAAACAGTCAGTGCTTGTTCTTTGCCAGACTTCATTGTACACAATCAAGCAGTGGCAAGGGGACAGTGAACTGGGCCTGGTCATGTAGGGCTGGTGCACTCCTCAGGTCTTGCCAGCACTCCTGATGTCATTGAGGTGCCTGGCTAGTTTACTTTTTGAGTAATATTTTTGAACATTTGAATCCTTAATCTTGGAGCTAAAACAAAACTTAAATGTTGAAACCTATTTACCTAAGAGACTTTTGGATTGTTTAAGAGCCAATCTAACACTTCCTAAAATATTATTTGAGTGCTCAGTATGCCCTCAATAAATACTTGGATTAATTCATGAATATATTAATTTTAAGTATTAAGTAATCCTGGAAAATAATTTTCTCTACCTTCTGAATCTCTCTCCTTTGTATAACTGATAGTGCGACATCTATGTTTATATGTGATTCAGAGCTAGAACTTTGTTTTCACCTAACTTTGTGTATCCTTTAATGCAGTGAGTGATGGATTGGAACTGAGACCGAAATATAAAGGAATTTTACATTGCTTGACTACCATTTGGAAACTTGATGGACTACGGGGACTTTATCAAGGAGTAGCCCCAAATGTCTGGGGTGCAGGTTTATCCTGGGGACTCTACTTTTTCTTGTGAGTAGAACTGGGAGATTTTATAATATTAAGTAAAAGGAAATTTTTGGTTTTAGTGATTTTTTTTTTTTTTTACATATCAGATGATGAAACAAGATGAGTCATTTAATCGGTTTCTCTGAATTGGAAGGATCAGAAAGAGCAAAATTAATAATCAGCTATTATCAGAGGCATTTTTTTCTGGAATAGGAATAGGAAAATAGGAATTTTTTCTATTTTCTTAATAGGAAAAAGGTGAAGGGGTGAGATGGAGAAATACTCTAACAGAAGCCATTTTTGTGAGGTGAATTGTTTAACTGATTACTTTTGTAAGGTGAATACTCACATATTAGAAAAGAGCTTTTTAAAAGCCATTTAAAAAAACAGCTGCCTCCAGATAATTCTCAATGAAATTGTAGAGCTCCTTCAGTATTTATTTTTGAGGTGTTTTGACATATGAGTGTGTATTCTTGAGCATTTCTAACAGTCAAGATAGATTACAAAATGTTGGATCGGCTGGTTTGTTATTTAGTAGTAGTTTTGTAAAGTGTTGTAGAGACTGGAGGAGCCTGAAATTGTTGTCTAAAATGAATCCTATGAATTTCAGTTCTCTTTGTATCGAGTTTTGATAAAGGAAGATTGTTTAAACAAATAAATTATTTTCTCCATTTATAGAGATTAGTTCCAGAGTGCCCCCAAAATAGGAAATTTCATAAATGCTGAAGTATCATTAGATAGTTATTTATTAATCTCAACCAGATTCCCAGAATATTTGAGATGGCTTACATGAATACATTTGATTCATAATGAAGTTGGAAAAGCAGGAGAAGACAGACCTTGGGGTCCTCATGTGAGCATGTACCACAGGACATCCCTATTGAGAACAGAAAGCAAAAGCCAATGCATGGCTGAAAGGGTTTGGAGCACATTGCTTCTAATGTTTTTTTTCGACCTAGCACCATCTTCCCAGCTCAATCATGTCCTTACTCCTTCCCCTGTCAGATATCATCACCCCATTTGAAATAACTGCTCTCACATGAAGAAGCCACAGAAAGTGCCTATGGCGGGCATGTTCAGCTTATTGCGTGTAGGAGAGCGTGTAACAAAGCTCATGGCACTGCATTGGAGGAACATGTGCTGCTCTGAGCATGCCTCTGATATTTGAAACTGAAGCCATGAATGGGGAAGCTTTTTTTGTTTTAATGGATGGCATTTTTAGGAAAACATCAATACCTAGTATATTTGCCTTTTTTCCCCTTGCGTCATTATTTTACTTGATCTCCTGTAAGTTTATGGCAGTATCCAAAACAGTCTTAAAATATCTTTTAAGTGAAAGCAAAATAAAATTCAGACTTAGTGTTGTTTAAATATTTTTATTATTTTCAGTCCTAAAACATACTCACATACACATATATATGGGTGTATATATGTGTGTGTGTATATCTATACATACACACACACACACACCCACGTATATAAATGCTTTATGAATTTGAGTTGAATAGATTTTCCAAGAGAGTTTCTAAGGACAAGCCATATGAATATGAGGTTTATGTGAAGAATTTTTTATAATAAAAGAGTTTACTTGTTTCATGTTAGAATGGTATTCATAAAGTTTGAAAAGATTTATTCAACTGAATGCTTCCAAGAGGAAGGTAGAATTTGTTGTTAGAGAAAATAGGCTAATTTGATTCCCCTGTTCAGAAACATTTAGTGGCTATTTTCTGCTAAAGAAAACCCAGTCTCAGTCTGTTGCTCAAGTGTGACTCAATTTTCCCTATCTTCCCATCTACCCTCATTACTTTTCTCCATGCTCATCTCTTTCCCTATTGAAACTATGTCTGTCTCTCAATATCCAGCTCAATGCTACGTGCTACACAAAGGCTTCTGTGATCTCAGTCATAGTTTCGGAATGTCTATGTTACTGTCTGTGTTGTCTTTTATTATGATTATTTGTGTACCTCTTATAGTCTTTGTTAGTTTGTTAAGAAAAATCCATCATATGTTTATCTTTTTTAGCTATCAGGATGATACCTGAGCATAGGTGCTTAGAACATATTTGTTAGGTGCCCCTTTGTTCTCTTGTGCCTTTTCTGCCCAGTCTTTGCACTATCATACACCCTTCCTTCCCCTCCTCCTATCATTTGTTACTAGTTGATTGAAGCATGTTACATACGTGTTTCTAGCCATATCCATTGGAGGGAGGGATGGCATGATCTTTCAATGAACCATTTCTAGCAAATCTGTTCTTGAAAAAGTTCTCATTTTGTGGTTGCATTATGCATTTACTTTTACTTGTGGGGTACTGTTGTTATACATACTTTAAAAAACAGACTTAACTGTTATGACACTTATTCAGATTAAACTGCTTATGTTTAATTCTTTTAGTTATAATGCCATCAAATCATATAAGACAGAGGGAAGAGCTGAACGGTTAGAGGCAACAGAATACCTCATCTCAGCTGCTGAAGCTGGTAAGAGAATGTATGAAATATAAATTTTCGCCTTCCAAACTTAATTTTCATTTTTGTTTTTTATTTTATTTGCCTGTTTTCCTTTGAACACCAGAGTTTAAACATGCTCATCTAACTCTGTTAATCAGTTATTACATGGAATTTATTAAAAAGCAGGTATTCTTATTGTTTAAAGTATAATTTCAGTTTTCAAATTATACAATTTAGTGGCCATGTTTGATTGTCTCGTGTATGTATGCTATCCAGAAGGAAAAACAAAATAAGACTCATGAGTCTTCATAAGGCCTACTCTGGTACCTTGCATACGTTAGTTTCTTAATATTTACTGACTGTTTCTTAAGGCAAGAACTGTCTTACTCATTTTTGAATACCTAGTCACTAGCAGAGATTGGAATCATAACAGTAAATATTTGTTGAATGAAGGACTACTTAGGAAACCCAGTGAATGAGAAACTTAACCAGATGAAATTTTTTACAAAATTATCACTTTCTATAAAGGATGTAAAATGTGACTTACTACATTACATAGTTATTTAATTTTGTGGGAGTATTTGCTACTTTGGATTTGAGGAAGATTGTGATGAAGTTGGGGCGGCTGTATGTGTGCACATGCACGGGTTACTGTGGTATGTTAGATTCCTGGTCCTTTTCTGCTAATCTTTACCCCCTCTGGTTTATACTGTCTCCTGCTCCTAACATCTGTATCTCCTTACCAACTACTCTCTACACCAGGCCACATTGTTAGGAGTCAGGATGTCTTTGCTGTCCTTAAACCTCAAAGGGAAAGTATGTGACATTTTCATCTCCTTTTTAATTTACTTTTCACTAACTGCATGAGGAACTTTTTACAGCTACCAAAAACTGTGTCTACTCTTTGACCCTAAGACTCTTCCTCAAAGACCACATTTCACAATAAATATTTTATAGGCTAATGAC